GTGCTTTACCTTTCAGACTCAAACTCTCCCTGCTGCTCTATCTGGACCACTTGTCTCTTAAGGCGACCGCTGCGGATTTCTTGACTTGGGTTCCACAACGTCTCCTGCTGGCCCGAGCGCTTCTCGTGAATGAACACCTCGCTGTCCTGTTTTCAACGAAAGGCAACAAAATGTTCAGTCCCATCGACCGAACCGATCGACTACGACATCAATGTTCAACAGCCGTGTGAAGAAAACGTAACAAACCGGCAATGTTGCTGTTTCACAGACAAATTCTCTGGTCAGCCAAGAAAACATTTAGCTAACATTGAAAACAAGATTTTCCAACATTTTCCAGACTAATCCTTTGATTCAGTTCCTTCGTACTCCCGCCCACTATCAGAGCCCTGTATACAGAGTCCTCTACTTGCTGTGTCTCCCTCCTGCCACTAAACCTATAATTACCAATTCTGTTTCTAATTACCACAGAGAATTACTGACTACTTAATAGCAAGTGGCAGAGAGGGATCCTGAATAATTAATCCAAACCAGAGTCTTGGGTGTCAGGCAGGAAACGGGGAAACAAAACTCTCACCCAGTGTCCATCCACGGTGGCCAGCAGCTCCTCTCCTACAAAGATCTTGCCGCTGATCTGATTCACAGAACACGCGCCTCCGAGGAAAGGCTGCAGCGAACAGAGTCAGAGGATAATGTCTTGAATAAAATGACTTTATTCTCAGAATGAATACAAATTTTAAAGCATCTTGCATGCAAACAGAACCTGTAAAGAACCATACCTTCAGTTTGAACTCCAGCTCCGTGAAACATTTGGTTTTCTCACATTCGATGGTAACCTTCCCCCCCAGCTCTAGTGTCATCGTGCCGTACAGGATACCTGCAAGACACAGTATTACAGCATGAGATCAACGAAATCAGTAAAACAATCCTGTTCGAAGTCCACACTTAAACGCTGTTACTGTACGGTTATGGCTGTTGTTTATGATCTGGCCAATGGCAGCGAGCGTTCCTCTGGACCGGAGTAATTTACACCATCCCAAAGTACACTCGGAGAATAAACAGAAACTTGACCTGCCTTAAATTACACCCGTCATCCATCAATAATTCTGGCTGTCAGCCATGTCAAGGTTCAAGTTAAGAGCAGAGCGAGGCGCCATTTAAAGTCCAGCGCGACACTTTGGTTGTGACATATAGCCGTGAAAGTTACAGGCCATGTGTATATATATATGTATATATGCAGCGTCTTTTGGTTTCTGTCCTCCTCTATGACCGTAAACTGAATATCTCTGGACAAAACAAGTAAAACACCCGTTAGTTGCGGCTCTAGAAAGAACCTCCATCTAACTGAACTCCATCTGAAAAAGTTTCACTTTAAATCCAGGCAGAGAAAGTTCATGAATGAATCCTGATTTTCAACTCAGCTTTGGTCGCCTCCAGCAGATTTTAGAAGTAAGTCAGAGGTTCTACAGTTTGTAGCAAATAACGAAAGCTAGACTTCATGCTGACAGTCGAGCTGCAACAATAAATTAATTAGTTGTCGCTATTTTGATAACTGATTTGAGTAATTTTTAAAAATAAAAACAGTTTAAATTTAGAGATTATAAATTCAGAGTATATATTTATCTGTTATTTGTCAGAGGAGACAGATTTCATGTCAGAGAAGTTCACATGTTAAACTCCTACACTCTCTGTACTGCTGCAGTGTTTGATAGTTCAGGTGTCACAATGAGGAGTCAGTTGGGTAAGGCAGGAACTACAAACCCACGAGGAGGAAACCAAGGAGGCCCAAACAGTTTGACTTTCTATCTGCTAGGCCTCTCACAGAACCACAAAGTACCTCACTGACAATAACCTCTTTGACTCCTGGACACTGTTGATGCGCCTTGAAAAGCTGAAGATCATCCAATATCCTGTACTTTGTGTAAAATACAAAACATTTAATATCTGTGAAAGTGTGCGTATTTTACTTTACTTATAATTATACTTAAATAATCTGCAGCACACTGTAACCGTGCCATTAATTTGGTAAAAGATCCAACAGTGTTAAAGGAGACTGTGAAGGTGACTGTTAGGGATTAACAGAAATTCTATTGGTATAAACACAGCTCCATAAAGAGGAAGCTCAACACCAAAAATGCCCTTTTTTGCCCTTTTTAAATGTTAAAACAAAGACTTCTCCAAATTAGCTTCGTCTAGATTGATGAGGCAGTATCATGGAGCTTATGGGAACATACTGTCCATTTTAAAATAGCACAAGGGAGATGGATGGACTAATTAAAGCAGACGGTTATTGATATATATATCGCAGATCAATTACCTTTGCAGTGAGCGTAGGGCATGGTAATGACGTACTCCTCGTCCCTGCTCAGGAACAGCAGCCGGGCTTTGCCGTCCAGAATCGCTGACAGAGAATTACCTGGAAGAGCAGAAGGACGGAGAGACGCGTGATTATCGAGTTTTCTTAAAGATTAAAAAGCTTACGCAGACTGTCGGGCTTCTGAAGCAAGACTGGGAATTTATCTGAAACAAAAGGATCAGAACGGGGATCAAGGCTGCTCCCACCATGTCGTGTCCTCGCAAGTCTTCATACGATTGTGTGCAATGCTGAGCTTTTAGCTACGACAAACAGAGTACAGACGGTAGTATGCTGTGTACCGTAGAACTTGGACTTGGCCAGGATGCTTCCACTGATAGAAAAACCATCCTTTCTATTGCAGACATAAAAGGCAGAGATAGGCGGATGGTGGGACACCTGGCAGGGGAGAAGGAGAGAGAGAGGAAGATATGAGCACCAGAGTGAGAAAAAAAAAGAGGTGTCAGATACCCTCTGGCACTTGTTAATTTTACACTTGCTGCATTTCACAGGTGTGTGCTCTACGTGTTTTGCAAAATTGTGCGAGCTATTTCACACGAGGGATGAATCATGTCCTGTGCCTGGACGCCTTAAAGCTACGATTGTGGTTTAACCTGCTCAGCTATGTAGAAAGTGCAGCTGTTAGTCTGAGGATGAAGCCAGCAGCAGCGAAACGTCTCCCCCAGGATTGGGTTGTAAGGCTTTTTCAGACCCTGGAGAGTGAAAAACAGAGTCAATTTTTAGCATCTTCTGGCAAACAAGTTCAGTGATTTGCTTCATTTTGTCACAGTTAAGCAAGATGGCAGTTACTTAACACTTAGGCAACAACACGTGTTGAGCACCGATTACGCAGCAGACGATCGTCGGACCAAATGGGCCTCACGAGTGAAATTTTAAACGGCAGAAAATAAGCATCATTATGGAGCACAGTGCCACTTGTCTAGACGTTTACAGCACACAGTTCAGTGGATGTCCTGTAATTACTCCGGTACTCGTGTTAAGTCCGTGTTTACAAAATGAGAGGTTGTCGAGTGTTTATCAGTCCATCTACGGCGACGCTCCGAAATGTAGTCGGCTCGAAAACTGCTGAGTAAGTCCAGATTAATCTGCAGTCATTATCTGCTGGCTCACGTTGAGTATTTCTCACTGGCTCTGCTGCCACGGAGGAAATAAATTCCTAACAAGTGGGAAGCGTATCGTGACATTTTTACTGCAGAAATAGACCCTGGACGGAGCCATTTGTCAAGCAGCCCAGGAATAAATTGTTACTGAATGTCATGTTGGAGGTTGGTGAGCCCGAAAAGACTAAAAAAAAAACAAAAAAACACGAGCAGTCAGGAAATCGTCCAATGCAACGAAAACAGTCACTTGCAGGAGCTTGCCAGGTCAGTGTGAGTATGTGACTGAAACAACAGGACTGCTGAATGCAAATTAACAGAGCTGGGATTCAGCAATCGACACACAGCTGAATCCTTTTGCTATCACTGGTTCTTTCGGTAAAAATGAATTTGACAGGGCAGTAAGTTAAGTACTGAGTTATATTTGACAGTCCTGAAGATGTTGCTCTAACTCTGTCCAAAATCTGGGACTATTTGAGATTATTACTACATATTCACTGAAATGTGCTTCAACAATGCACTTGAAAGGTCTTAAATATCGTCTACTTGCTTAATTGTTTTACTCAAAATGTTAATATTTAATCGCAAAAGGGGTGCATCTTGTTGCCAGACAGTAAAGCCGATATCGTAATAACAAGCCACCTGGGAGTGAACATATCCTACCTTGGGTTTCTTGTAGAAACCAGACAAGTACCATCTCAAAACCTGCTTGATCCGACCGTACGCACTCTCCTCCAGAGCAGCTCTGTGGCGAAGGAGCAGAAAAGTCAGACACAACACCGAGATGAGAAAAGACCATAAATAATGTATTAAAAAAAGGAGAAAAATGACAAGAAGCTACTGACTGTGAGAGCAGATCAGCGTGGTAGTAGTAGTCAGACAGCTTGTCCAGGAAGGAACGAGGCTCCAGGATGAAGGTTGGCAGCACCACCTTAGACAGGTCCATGCCCGGCCGCAACTGCTTCAGCAAGCTCCAGATCAGACCCTTGTTCTCCTCTGACACAGTCTCCACCTGGGACGCCTCCCCAGCCTAAAGGAGCCAATCCAGACCCAGAGGCACATGAGTGAGGGTACGGAGCGTCATTTCCCAAAGACAAGACGTCATGTTTTAAACCAGAACTGGGCCGAGGGAAATGTGTTGTGAGCGGTGGTTAAATGTGAACACTGTGGACGAAGACCTTCCACACAAACAAAACAAGGCCAAGCCCTTTACATAAAAACACACAGTGAAGCCACTGCCTCACCTCAGCCATCTCCTCTGTGCTCTGCTCTACATAGGCTGTGGCCTGTGGCCCGGGGGACAGCTCGTCTGATTGGTCCATGTCGCTCTCCTCCGTCAGCCTTCCACCGTTCTCATTGGCTGTAGTGTCCCAGTCGTCATGAGCCTCTCGCTCTGATTTGTCTGAAAAGCCGTCATGCTCCATGTGGTGATTGCCCAGCAGCACTGTGTCATTCAATCTGACGGAGACAGAGAAGTGAACACAAGGCTAGAAGTATATTAAATAACCCTGACAAATCAGCCGTGTGTTGCTGCTGTGTGTTTGCGTTCTGGGAAAGATGCTATTGATTACAGTCACAGGATTTAATCAGGTATCTCTGTAACATTTCTGTGTGCTGACGTTTATGCTTGTTCATATCGTCATGTGTGTCTCTGGTTACTACCGAGGATAATTTAACTGAGTGTGGACACTTCTGAAAGTTTTATTTACCATGAGTTAACATTAAAGACGTCACATGAGATTACAACGATGATGACTGCCTCGCCACTAAGGCCATCAACAGATAGAAATGACCTGCCACGGACTTGACAATATCGAACCGATGTGCTCGTGAATCTTCCCCCTCACAGCTATGAAGAATAGACCTGCTGCTGTCGAGACTATCCGTGATAATAACCTGACTGGCCTGGAGGGTCTGGATGTATTCAGGAAAACAGACTGATCGTAATCCTCCCTCGTCTCCCATCCTATAATCACCTGGTTTAAATCTAACTGGTACCATCAGAACTCACAAACAGAGTGACGTATGAATATGTTCAGACCATGAACATGTGGATAGTTACGTATCTATTTCACATAACTGATGCGACATTAAAACGAAAAGCTGTTCAAAGATCAGCGTGTGTGTGTTTAATATGCAAATTACAAGGATTCAAAAGTAACTGGACATTTACTAAATGTTTCCTGGTTGAAAGTGAGTGTTTAGGTAGATTACATGGAGTTATCCAGCAATATGAGGAGTGACCATAGAGTGGAAGAAAATAACACTGAGGCTTAAAAATGTAGAGGGAGGGATGTCAGATTGATATCTAAGGTAGCTGGTTTCCCAAAACAGACAGGTGTGTGCCATCTAAAAGTAGATCCACACAGGTGAACTAGAAAATTGCCGCTGCCGCGGTACACCGAGGAGGACGACTCTGGTGGATTTCACAAGGTGTTTGTGTTTCCACTTGAAGAGAACCGCAGAGGATTCAACACAAGATGCAAACACCTGGGAAACCTCAGCAACAAAGAGACTAGGTTATAAACAAACAAAAAGGAACTGGCAGAGCTCTGGGATGCAGTTCTACAGGCTGATGAAACCAAAATCTATCAAAACGATGGAAAGAGCAGGAAAAAAAAAATCCAAAGCATATTACCTCATCTGTTCTAGATTGACGGCTGCCAGTGGAACTGGCACGTTGGCATTAATGGATGATTTCACTGTTGGCAGCAGCAGCAGCAGCAGGATGAACACGGACGTATACAAGAGCTGGCTCAGACTCAGCCAGATCCATCAAATCTCATTGGACAACGTTCGGGCGGTGAGGAGTAATCGCATCAGCTGGCCGATTGACTCACTTGATCTCAACCTTGACTTGCTGAAGACCAGACAAAGACAAGAGACCCCACAACAAGCAGGAGATGAAGGCCTCTGCAGTGAAGGCCTGGAGAACATGGTCAGAACTGCTGCTAAGGGTCTGCTGATGTCTTTGGCGACAGACGTCTGGCAGGTATTGATCGAAGGGAGTTTCGACTTAAAGTCTATTTGTCCAATTATCTTGGAACAACTGAATACTGAATTTTAAAAGCACTATATACCTTCTATATAGACGTAATCTACTTAGATTAAAGCCGACTTTGATGTCAAGTCCATTCTTTCATTTCACATTGAATATGCTGAAGAACAAAAACCGGACTGTACAGCACATGTATGCACTGCTGATATAAACGTGTTAGCGTGCACACACACACAAAGTTGACAAACAACTAACTCAAACTGCATCATTTGCTGAATTATCATTTTCACGCTGCAGAATGTTCCAGTCCAGGACGAATCAAACCACAGATCTCTCAGCTCTCAACCAGAACAAACTGGAAACACGACAACACAGGGAACAAAGTCACACATCAGCTTGTGCATCGCTTTAAGAAAGGAGAAGTGAGAATGAGAGAGAGGGAAAGACAGATTTGAGGGGTGGGGGTGTTGGTAGCTAAAGAGGGAAAAAAAAAAAAACCTACAGCCATTTTCTAAGTCCGACAGTGGACGTCTGTGTGCTCTGATGGTGCCCAGATCCAAAACCACACTCGGGGAATGCAGAGAGATAAAGAAACGAAAGCAGATCTCAATCATATGCACACTCAGATATTTCACAAATCCTCCACACTTGGGATCCGAGCAAAATCCAGTTACCAGTAGGACAGCTGACAACGTTTGTAGTGTGTCATATGCTTTCATAACCACATTCAATGATTCAGGATTGTGATGACAGAAAACAAGAAAACAGCTTATTCGCCAAAAAAAAAAACAAAAAAAAAAAACAGTGGAAGAGAGTTCAATTTTCTCAGCACCTGAGGGTTTGACAGACCTGAACAATCACATTCCAGCACAGTCTGTGAATCACTAACCGGCCGGTAAAGTCACTTATTAATCCAAACACGCCCTGGAACGGAGGCGGCTTTCCTTACCTCAGAGACATGCAGCATATAGGAAAAGTCTTCCTCGGGAAATTAAATCAATGAGGACACCAGAAAAATCCAAAAGCAGATGCAGCCTCTGCTTATCTCCTCCCTGTCTTCTGCTCTCCTGTGTTTGTGTAAATGTTTTCAATCGACTGGCTAAAAGGTGCAGTTTGGTTTCTCCGACTCCGGCACACCTGCTTCCTGAATGTGTGTGTGCATAATACTGTCTGTGTGCCAGTGTGTGTGTGTGTGTGCGTGTGTGTGTGTTTGTGTGTGTGTGTAGGCTCGCAATGGCTGCGTTGCTACCGTCTCTTTCTGGGTGGTGTATGGCTCACATTGTGCTCCATCTTCCTGCTCCCCTGTCTGTCATGTGACCGCACAAGCTGCTGCGATTGGCCGGCAGAGGAGCAGGAGGAGGAGGGACTGCTGAGGAGGATGGCCAGGGGGAATGTTCAGCCATGGAGGAGGTGATAGGAGGGGGAGGTGTGAGGAGGTGTGAGGAGGAACGGGACGCCTAATGTAGGATGTAAACAGTGCATAAACAGAAAAGCGTGAGGCCTGCACAAAAACTAAACATACATACTCACAAGCATATGGGCGAGTCTTTATGATTATCATCCGACCAGAAGCAAACAGGATTTAATTCCTAACAGCACCACGATCACTGTGGCCTTCTTGTTCCTTTGGATTTACAGTACAGAGCAAACACACCCACATTATATTTCTACCTGTAAGCCTTCACAGTTCATTACAGCTCCATCCTCATAGCTGTCAGCTGCCTTGCTTAAGGGCACATTACAGCAGTTGCCAAGGAACAGGTTTGGGCTGAGAACTGGTTCCAACTTAGAACTGGTTCCAAGTTCAATTTTGATTCTGCTTTTAGGTTCCTAAACAGATTTCAGAAGTTCAGAAACAATCTACTGCAAACACCATATATCTAATGCCATCTGTCTGCGCCATCACATGACTTAAATGCAGCATGTCTTCCCGTTTCATGATGCATTTGTGTTGATAAATCATGAGTGGAGAGCAGCTCAACAGGAAATGCTACAGCAAATGTAAAATAGCTGAAGTAAACTCCAAAAAAAAAAATAAAAATCAAGAAAGCAGACCACCGTCGCTACAGTGACAGTTACTTCATCCAGCTCGGTGTTTATGTTTATCTGTGGTAGGCAGCGTTTCACACACAGAACGCTGTAGTAGCATGAACAGGGACTATGTCTCTCATGTGACAGCAAACACCACACACACACTTCCATTAACTATTAGGTCCATTTAGGCACGTTCCAGCTGACCAAAGCAACCTCACTACTCCGTATAGCAACGCTCCTCTGTGGCTGCAGCAGCGTGATGCTACTTCTCTCACACACTTCACACTACAAACCCACGAGTCTGCATCACTGCTTTCCTTAAAGGGAATGTGCAGCTAGGCTAAGAGAGAGCTAACCCACTAAATACAGTGTCTGTGCTAATAGAAATGCAGTACCGATATTAATTATTACATTTTTGTTTGTCTTGATAGACAGAGATGAGCAGTGGTGGAGGAAGGACTCCGATCTTTTACATAAATAAAAGTACTAAAACCACACTGTAAAAGTCCTGCAGTGGAACCATGTATTATGGTATATTAATGCCTACTGTAGCTGTTAGATAGAAATATAGTACATCATTTGGTGAGGTTAAATATAACTCATAGATTCATTTAAATCCAGGAGTTGTACCTGCCGATACAAACACAACCTAACCCTACTGAGGAACAACTGTTTACCTATTTCTTTTTAGCAGTCAGTATTTATGTTATTAAAGTTATTATTTCAGAATTTACAAGATATGTTTTCAGACAGTAATTATCAGAACAATATCAGGACCTGACAAGTTTTAGAGAAATGTAAAAACCCAGCAGTTTCTTTGTTTGAAAGACATTTCCTTACTTTGTAATGTTCCTAATGTAATTATTCTGCACAGTTCCCAGTAAAACTTTTTTTTTTTTAAGTACCTTCTCAAGCTGTTACTTCATTCACTCAGAATAGCACAGGTGCCAACCAGAGGTTAAACAGCTAACGGCACGAGAGTCACAAACCAGGGTGACATCAGACTATGCAAACACTGTTCAAGCACAGGTGCTGCTTCTCAAAAATAGACCTTTTCAACAGCAGTCATTTGACATCTGTCAAAGCAGAACAGGCACTGATGTGCTGATGATGGCTGCCAGCCATGTAGGGGATGTCCTGCTACTGTGCACGCTGGTACATTGTCTAAAGTGTCAGGGTTCACGGAGACACTTCATGAATCATCAGTGTAATTAAGTCCAAATGCACGTTTCGTACTGTGGCAGGTCAACATGTCGGTTATAGTTGAAGTTCAAAGTTTAAACACGACTTCAATACTTTGTAATACCAGGTATGTATGTATATACATATATTTATATAGTGGTCTAACTCAGCGATCCCCAACCTTTAATGCACCACGGACCGGTTTGAAGCAAGAAAATTTTCTACGAACCGGTCATCACGCATGTAACAAAAAATGATTATTTTTTCTATTAAAAAGTTTCATAAATTAATAAAATTACCTGCTAAATACATGTTTGCTTTTTCTTCCGTCTCAGTATCGAGTCTCTCCCACTTTCCAAAGAAGCTGAGATGTTTGATTTTTTATTAATTTCGGCAACTGTCCGACTGACGGCTTCGTTTAATGGATAAAAACTGACAGTCAAGTGCGAGAAACAAGCGCAGAGGGATGCGACGGGAAGACGAGCTAGTAATTTTTCAAAATTCAACACCCTGCAGACTCCACTGGAAAAAGAAAAAAAAAAACAATAAAAAGTTTTTTTCTTTCTGTGCGGCCCGGTACCAAATGACCCACGGCCCAGTACCCGTCCACGGCCCGGTGGTTGGGGACCGCTGGTTTATCTGATGTACAGCTGCAGAGATTGTTACCAGAAACCAGACATACAATAACGTCTAGATGAATAAATATTATCACCAATGTGTCTTAAGACTGTTGAATTTCCCTTCTGGGATAAATAAAGTACTTTTCTTTTTTTTTTTAACAAGCCCAGCAGCATAAAGGTTTCCCTCTGCCAAAAAAAAACAAAATTAAAATGTAGTTTCTGGAGACAAGCTGAAAAAGAGCATGTTTATATTGTATAAAACCTAATCTGTGCATCTGAGGAAAACTTTCATGTTTCTCACATTACAAAACCTAAAGTAGCACGTTCAAGGTTTTGAGACTAGTCTCCAATCTCTTGTCAAAACGGTAGCATCATATGCACAGTGACAAGCTGCGATCCAAATGCACACTGGCACTGCATGACATAAAATCACACACATTAAATGGTTTAACAAAGAACTGAAACTATATGAACAGTGTTCACTACAAAGCAAAATGTTTTGTAATCTGCAGATGTATCTCCAAGGAGTCCTTGTTTTCTCAGCTGCTATTCTGAGTTGACAACCAGAAAGCCCAAAGACTATATTTTTAGACCAACCATCCGGGAATTTCTGATTTATGTGTCTAATGGAAATGCCAGCAGTCCTGTGAGTGGACAACAAGACACATGAGTTATCCAATAACAACAAGTGATTATATATGTATATGTGTATGTGTATGTATATATAGGTTAGATGGAGATAAATTGTTTTGTTTTGAGGTTGTGTGTGTTTATGCAGCTGTATAAGGCAACAGCGACACTAACGTCTTCTCATTTTATAATGCATGATGTCTGCTGTGTTTACACCTCGAGTCCACACTACTCCTGTGTTTTAGGATCCCTTAAACTGGGACTTTTGGAAACACTGCTGACTCTGTTTTAGTCTGAAAACTCTATCGTAGCTTTTAGCTTGGATGTGCAGAAATGGAAGCGATGACTCAGACACCCGTGTTCTCTTTCTGAATGGGCTTTAGTGTCACTGTTCTCTGTGTGTACTCTGATTCGTCACGTGAATGTTTACCGGAAGAAAACAAAGATATAAACCTTGACTACTAGTAATTAGTTAATTGTTGAAAGACGCAGCTTAATTTAGCACCTCTGCTAGCAACTGCTGTGAAGTTAAGAAAATCTCCAACCTTGCTTTTTGTCATTGCTGTAGTATTTTCTACAACAAAGTACTATTTGCCTCATGGTGTCACCGGCGTCTGCTTGTCCAGTGTACGTGAACGGTCATGTGAGATATACGTATGTTAATATTCATGGAGCTCAAACGCTCATCTGGAAAGAGATAAATGTTGTTTTGACTCAAACCCTTCAGTGTAGATGCAGCCTGTGTGTTGCTTACTGTAGTAGATCCGTATCACTGAGTGCAGTGGACTGCAGCAGGTGGAGTATATGGGAGGACTCTGAAGACGTGCTGATATCTCCTTCTTTCCCAGCTTTGGCTGTCAGCTTGTACAGACTGGAGCAGCTGAGCGCCAGCTCCAGGGCATCCATCCAGCATCGACCTGGAGAACAGACAGGTTTTAGATAAAGGACAGAACACCTTCGATAAACTCTGATCGTAAACAAAATTCTTCAAACGCGTCAGAATGTACAGCTCCAGTGGAAACAACAGCACATAATCCTCACCGTCAGATTCAGAGGCGGCTCTGAAGATAAGGTAGTTGCTGGGTAGAGGCTGCGTGATGGAGCCAACGTTCTCTCCTTTGGGACCCTGGACATATGGATCACACTGTGACTCACATTTCATGATGTGTATTTATGTTGTACCAACAGAAACAAACGGCTCTCTCAGGGGCCATGAGCATAACGCTGCAATGAACAGGATGATTATAACCTATAAATAGAAACCACTGGTGGTAGAAAAAAAAGAAGAAATGCTCAGACGATTTCCTAACTTAACAAAACTGCACATTAATCTGTGAAATAAAACTAAAATGGATTCACAAATTGTTTTTTTTCTTGTTGTGTACATTTTTATTTAGTGTTGCCAAAAACTCACGTCCTTAAAACATCACTGCTAGATTCAAAAAAAGGTTTTTACAGCTTCAGTGGTGCTTTGTTTACGATGATTTCAATTTGTACGTTAATTTAAATGTGCATTGTTGTTATAAATGCGACCACTAGGAGTCGCACAAGTCAGATTATTTTATGTAAATCCTCGACCACTAGAGCTGTCCTGGTCATATTTTATCACTGGGTTTATGATGATGCTAGTAAGCCAACAAACATCTCTGTCTCACCTTGACAGCCCATATCGATTTGTCCAGCGGGTGGTACAGTTTGAAGCAGAATCCGTCCTTCTTGGAGGGTCTCTCGATCAGCTTGCAGGCACTGAGCAGGATGGTGCCCACCCAGTGGTCTGTTTTGGGGGTTTTATAGATCAAAAGAACGCCGGGCTTCAGGGCACACCACAGCTTGGTCCAACTCTTTAACGAGCCGCGGATCTAAAGGGGGACAACGGGTGAGATGGGAAGACATTTTAGCTTCAGAGTTTATCGGAAAAAACAAGGATTATGATGAAGGTAATTCAAAACTGATGCTTATAAAACATTACAAGATTGAAATGTAAGCTGCAAAAGGCTGCCTTTATATTTTCTAACAGATCAGAGTTGTACAATTTGCAAATGACCTACAGGGTGATTAACAATCTCACACCTTGAGCCAGTTGGACATGATGACAACGCTGGGGTCCTTGAGTGCACTGAACAGTTCTTTAGCTGCCCGCTTCTTCTCCTGCCTGTAATTCTGCTTCTGGACCTGCAAAACAGGAAAAATCCAACAGATGAGTCATCACTCTTGCTCCACAAAGGGACCGATCTGAAACTGCGAACACTAGGTGGAAGCAGAGTCAAACTAATTCCAGCGTTCAAACTGGAACGCTTCACGAAAGGGTACACATTTAAAATATAATAAGACGTTTTCAAAAGGTTTCCAGATGGCTCGAGTGCACTTAAGCCACTGAGCTAAGACTAACAACCAAAGAAATGAAGAGCTTTTACTCAACAATGAGCAAAATGGCATAATAACGGTCAACATTTCCCACAGCCGTCTGAGGGGAGGAGGCAAATTATACCTTAAGAGACTCCTTCCGGGCCAGCTTCTCTGTGGGAGAGGGGCAGTCCTTCTCAACACCATTAAACATCCTGGACTCAGACTGGAGGTGGGAGCGAGAGGAGAAGGAAAAGAGACATTTCAGCGACAGACGAGCACTGCTGAAGGTTCTGCAGGGAGTTTAGTTGACAAAATATGTGATTGCAAAAAGCACAAGTTTCTATCAGTCTATCAAAAACACTGAAAAACTGTTCTTTTCTATAATGATGACTTATTTAATACCTTGATTACCTTTCATTAGGAACGGCACAATATGTCTACGAGGCCGTGTGACACGGGTTGAGCAGCCCTTTCAATCAAAAAGGAAACTTAGCAGGCGGTTGTATTTGATGTGGAGACCACAAACCCACTAACTTCCGCGGTTAGACAGCAAAGGGAACAAGAGTGTTTGATGGCCTCCGCCTCAGTGAACAGAGATTAGAATCATAACTTATCTCGTGATTTTCCTAAGATGTGTAATCGCACAACCACTTGTTCTGTATGCACTAAACCAGAATGAATCACAATATCATTTGGTAAGCCCACACAGGCATTTAAACACACTGTGTCATAAAAAAACAAAAAAAAGCCATTCTAAAAGTGTACTACACATGCAGGGGTAAGGCTGTTCTCCAATTGTCCCATAAGGGCTTTCATGATGGGAGCAAGGCCAAAAGGCCAGAGTTGCAGCTGCGCATGTGAATTATTCCACATATAAATAGGCGATGTTGCGGGACCAAGCGAGGCAAAGCGACATGAGGAGAGGAGACAAGACAAGATGAGGTTACCCGGTTGCCACTGGAAACATTTATTGACCACTCCTAATTAGTATTACTAAAAATGGAGACAGACTGTCGGGACTAATACGACATAAACAACACCAGGACAAAATTAGTCCGGGTTGCCGTATAAATGCTTTGCAGTCCTAACGACACAGTTCCCACCATGGCCCTGACATACACAATCCAACATTTTTACACGACTTTAGCTCATTAGCGCAATTAAGTGTTATTTATTGCTGGTTTGTTGTTGCTGTTTAACACATCTGGTTTGCATGTGACACACTCATTTGTACAATGCCCTGAAATTACTCCTAAAAAGGCCTCAACGACTGTAAAATGTGTTGATTTATTATTCAGACTGGTAATACTGTAAGCAATCAGAGAAACAGAAATGATCACAGAATGCAAAGGGCGAAAGTGTGTGCTCACCTACTGAGTCATTTATAGTGACCTGTTGAGGAGCTGCCCAACCAGGAACTGTGTTCTTACCTTGCTGCCTGGTGATTGGGCAGGACTAAGTTCATTACTCAGCATGGAGAGACCGTTCCTGTCTGTCTCACTGCCTGGTGGGAACCCACAACACACAATCACATACAAATGAACTCAGAGATTAAACCTTTGCTGACAGACAAAAGCACGGCAGCCGCCAAAGCAGCTAATAAGCAGCAGCTGAGGTTTATCGATTTGTATGGAATAAGTACATTACAGCGCCGTATTTTCACACTTTAGTCCACTAGCACACACACACACACAACTAAGATACCACTGCTTTTGCTATATTTACTCTCAATGTGTCAGCGATGAACTGTCGACCTGTTACCTGGACTGAGGTTGTAGAGGTCGTTGTCTCCTCCATAAGACAGGTTCCGGGTGAGGGTGCGGGGGTCAATTTTGGGCGGGGAGGTGGCACTGGGGCACAGAGAAAACCTCCGATGGAACAAGTTCTCCTCCTTCATCCTGACAACCGGCTCGTCCTCTGTGGCGGGGAAAGCACAAAAGACGGAGGGGAGGAAAAAGGAGATGTAGAAAGCGCAGAGAGGGAACAGAGGAAGAAATGAATTTGGATGAGAACAAAATGTTACTTTCGACTGTGCCTGCATGCATTTGCTCATCTAACGCTAGAAATTACAAAGAGTTCAAGTGATTCATTCTGCCTTTGTAGCTCCTCTTCTTTTGAATCCGGTCTTTCTCGCCGTCTCTCCAACTCCATACTCACTCTCTGTATATATCTATTTGTCTGAACCCCCACCCTTTCACTCCTCTTCTGCATTAACAAAGACGTACTGTATGAGGACATGTCAGCCTGTCCACATAATGGTACTGTGCGTGGCAGTGACAAGCAGTTCAGACTGCACATTGTCAGACTATATGACAGATAGAGGCCTCAACAAGTTCAGTTAGTCTGTCCACAGACATCCACTGTCCAAAATGACCCCAATTACAACCGCCACCGCCACCACCACTGTTTCATCATCTAAATTGCTTTATCCAAAGAAAACAAAACAAAACTGCAGCTTCTTCAGTCATTCCCTTGATATCCACAAGAATCCCATCATGTTCTAATGAGATGCGCACTTCAGGACACAAAAGAGGACGAATGCAGCGACTGCAGATGTGTACAGGATGGAGCTGTGGCTCTGCAGCTTCATGTTGTTATTGTGCTGTTGTTAATTTACAGCAGTGAGAGGATGAGTCATATTTTTAGGCCACCATGCCCACATAAACAAGACAAAGCAAGCACACAGGCAAGAAACCATATTGGCGTACGCATACTGTGTGCGAGTCTGTTTTCCCCTCGACTGAGCTCAGCAACTATTGACAAGTTGCAAACTATTCATAGCATGTTATTACCAACCGCTGAGGGTCACTGCTGTTCTCAGACGGATCATTATGCCCGTTCAAATGGGTAGGAAGCTGTTCATAGCAAATCAGAGCTGGCGGTAAAACACTGAAGTTAATGGAGCGTAGCCGTTACCACCTGGGTCTGTCTGGTCGGCCACAGTGTGCTTCCGCTCAGATCAATATAATCCCATTCAGTTTTGCTCGGTGCACAAACACATACAGTAGACGAGACCCTCTGACTCCCAGCCTACAGCGCAGTCTCGCCTACAAGTCCTCAATTACCACATCCAAGAACAGTGTGTTACATAAAATTCATTCATAGAACATCTTCACGGGCTGATTCATCGCTTGACTCTCCCACATCATTCCACAGTGATTACACCGAGGGAAGTGCGATATGTCAAAGTGTACATGCTGGTGCTCATGCAGAGGTTACTATAACTTGCGGATTCACAACGGCGGAGGATGGAAAGTAAAAATCAGATTTAGTCCGTTAGCAATGTGTGACCTACCTCTACAAGTGCAACTATGAAAAACACTAAAGCATTTTCACATCCACGTCTTCATCACACCACTCCCTGCTTCCCTCACTCGTCTACTCTGCCTCTGTGACTCATTCGCTCAACCTTCTGACTCGCCTCACTTCTGATCTAGTTTGCTTTTCCCTCTTGCCCTTTGCCTCTTTGTCATTTCAAAGAGGGAACACGATATCAGAGACAAAAGGTAAATTTAAAAAGGAGCCTTATTTGTCCTTGTGGGGCAGGTCTATAAATAGCCTTCTATTGCTGCAGTGCACGCGTGCATGTACAGTACAGTGCAGAACCCTGAGTGGGGTGCAAGCTCCATGGAAAAGAGCTTGAAGCTTTTGCATTACACAACAGTAAACACAATGGACTGCCAGGCTGGCCGGGGACAGACGCACACACACACAGAATTAATACCACTTACAGTACAGACCCTATGTCAGGTCAAGATGTGGACATGTAGACGGACAGGACAAACCAATCACAGGCGGTTCTCACAGCTGCATGCTAGGATTAGTTGGGGGGGAAAAAGGCTGAGAGTATGAGCGCATATCGCAGACTAGGCTAAGCATGGGTGTGGCATCCTCGCATGCTTAATCTGTTTGTATTTTGTGTGGACGTCTCGGTGGCCGATGGTGTTTGTTGAATGACGTAAGTGTAAAAAAATGAGAGTGTGGATATGCATACGTGACACTGTGTGTGTGTCTGCCTTGCTGCTGCAGACTGAAGGGAGGATTACAAATGCACACGATGTAGCACCAAAGGAGAGGTAAAATGCTCCTCTACAACTAGCCAATCCCAGCCTGAGCGGTGAAGCAGTGCGCATTACTAACAGACACACATGCATGAACACACAGATTAAGCACTTGAGATACAGTCTTACCACATCGGAGGTGGGTGGGGGAAGTCACTGATGTGTGACAGTAAAACAGAGCGTCATGTTCAATGTCTGTATAGGCAGGTGTGCATGCAGCCACAGCAACACTGCACCAAACCAAACAACTGATTCCTTCAGTCTTAGGGAGGTTATGATCTCTTACATCCAGCTAAGACGTGCTCTGAGCAGCCATACTGGAAAGTAGAGTGGGGAAAAAAAAAACAGCTGTCAAAAGGAGGGTGGGGAGACTTGATGTTCTTAATAGCCGGAATAATGGCACACATTTTCAGAAATCTCTCCAGGGAGCGCCACTCTCTTCCCCGCACAGCTGGCCGATCATGACATGAAGAGTGTGCGAATGTCGGACTGTCAATTCTGCAAAGCTACAGGTAATAAATAACGCACACGCACCATTCGACCCTCTCGTCGAAATCGGAAAGGTGTGGTGGCAGGGGCTACGCTGTGATGCAGGAATGCAGCGTTCTACTTAATGTGGATCAACAGATTACGGTGACGGTAGAATTTCAATTACAACTCTGCAGCATTCCAGCTCATACACTCGACCTATAGCCAACACCGACTGCAACCCTGAAACAAATAATAGAGAATATTTAAAACTAAATGAATGCACAGTTATAAAATCAGAACATTCGGCAGATACAGGAAGGGATGTATTGACCTTTACAGAATAATGCAAGGATGCACTGTGTAAAATTGCAATGGCGGCACTCTGAGAGGAAACTTCAAAAGCAAAGGGTCATTCAGATAAGTATCAGCGCTGTTCCAACTAATACGTGTATATATATCGGTAACAAAGGAGGAAATGTGAGAGGAACCAAGGAGATTCCAAGGAGAAATTCAAATTGCATTTTGGTTGCGCTGAATCGTCCTTCTAGCCTGTGACTGACCTTCCAATAATACTCGAACACAGAACGCAGCTTTGTTTAAACTCTCACCACTCGCTGTACACAGCGCGTAAAGCCCGCGAGGCTAGGCCAACATTAACTTCATCCACTGCAACCGCGCTACACAGGTGCTTGGCTAATATTTACCCAGCGATATGAACATCTTGTGGAAGAGATAGCAGGAAGGCAGCAACACCAGCCGAATCAATGCACACATTCCTGTGTCATACATTAACCTTAAACTCTGAGAAAAACAGATAAAAACAAAACACAAAGCCTGGCCCACAGTTACCTTGTTGAGGTGAAAGCACTTGACTCGCCGTCACATGGGGCCTGTTTGTTTTTAGTAATCATTACACCGACTGCGAGCAAGAAGGGAATGAGGGGTGGAAAGGAAACATGTTCTAACCTGTATATCGTTCATATGCTCGACTGATCAAACTAGAATAAATCAGTCTCTGCTAAGGTTGCACAACTTCGTGCTGCAAATGTAGACCGATAGTAATCTCAACTGAATCAAGAAAAAAACTCTGTACAATGCTGCACAGTTAGAGGTTTGATAAAAAGGCAATCTCTAACAAACAGTTTCACATTAAGGTAATATATAACATGAAGCTGGCTGAGGCACTGCACTCAGGTTAGCACACGGACATGGCACGTTGTAGTAAACATGAGTTGGGACCTTCGGGAACTTCTCCTGTTCATTTTGGTCTTCCAGTCACAAAGTCATCATTTTTTCAAGCATAGGTTTCAGACTTCAGGTTAAAGATCAACTTCTTCTAAAACATTGATAGGCGCCTTCCCAGACTGTCTGGCAATGTTCAAACTTTGAGTTGTCTTCGAGTCTCTCTGGTATGAGCTGTATTTGTGTTGAAAATTAGAAATCCATCTATCCATCCATCATCTATACACCGCTTAGTCCTCACTAGGGTCATGGGGGGCTGGAGTCTATCCCAGTTGACTTAGGACGAAGGCAGGTTCACCTGGACAGGTAACCAGTCTATCACAGGGTTACACTTAGAGACAGACAACCAAGCACACTCACATTCACACCTACGGACAATTTAGAATCACCAATTACCCTCAGCATGTTTCTGGACTGTGGGAGGAAGCCGGAGAACCCGGAGAGAACCCACGCTACACGCTGGAGACTCCACACAGAAAGATCCTGGGTGTCCTGACCAGGACGCGAACCGGCAACCTTTTAGCTGCCAGGCAACGGTGCTAACCACTGCGCCCAAAATTAGAAAAACCATTGGTGATAACAACTTGCTGGATATCTGGAATCTGTTCCAGCTAAAACTAAGCAAGAGGTGGGATGCATCCTGAACAGGTCACCCAGGGCTGACACGTACTGACTGACATTCATTCAAACTCGTATTCCTGTGTATGAGCAAGTGGCCAGTTAACGAAACTGAAACAGTGTGTAGTACATCATCACAAACAAACACAATGTTCCAGTATATTTGAAAGAATCGGGGATGAGATGACTTAAAACAGAAATTCATAACGGTGGTTTAACTCTCTACAGATTCTATAATGCTGTTAATCAGCTTAAAGACGTTGACTAAGTGCGGACTATTTCTTTTCCCAGTTTGTTTACATTGAACAGTAGGCTACGCTTTTGGTTTGCACAACTTCCAGTAATCCTAAATTACACACCGACACCCTATCTGTCAACACAACTGCTATTTAAAGCGGATAATGTCATATGAAGTTCACATTCCTTGATTCAGTGTTTATGTTGGCTAAGCACACGTTGTCCCTCTGAAAGAAAGAAAAAAACGAAAGTAGGTACAGAAAATCTTGATTCACGCACAATAACCGC